GAAGGCCTCTGGAGGGTGCGGGTAAGGTGCGGTGCTCGGAGGAGGTCGGGAGCCCCGGCAGAACGGGGCGGGTCGGTTCTAGCGCGGCGGCGTGTTTGGGAGCCCGAAGTCGTGAGGTTCCGGTCATAGGGAGCGTGCGGAGGACCGCGGGGGGGAACCTGCTGCGTGGGGCGCGTGTGCTGCCGAGAGCGGAGCTTCCCTCCCGAAGCGTCGGCGTGCTCGCTAAGCTTCCCTGATGCTTTTCCAGGAGGCTTCTTGCAAGGCAAGAGTGGAGTTGTCATTTCTTGGAATTTCCAGAGCGAATGATTTCGAGGAGAGGGCCTTTTTAAACTCCTTCTACATGGCAAAAAAAGGTGGAATCTGCCTTCCAAATACTGGCTAGATCAGTAGCGGTAAATTTCATGTCCCTTTAGGTTTTCTGTAGACCTGCAGAGTTTCAGGTGTGGTTCATTCCTTGTTTTGATGTTTTGGGGGTTTTTTGGTTGTGGTTGTTTTTTTTTGTTTGTTTCGTTTTGTGGGGTTTTTTTCTCTACAGAGTTGTTAGGCATATGCAGCTTTTTTTGGGCAAGCTGAAAGGTTTTTGTGAAAATTATTTTGAGCTTCTTCAGCGTTTAATGGAAGATACTTGAAAATATGTCATGATTTTCTACTCCTTTTGAAATTAATCTGGACTCTTATTTGTGATTTTTTTTTTTTTTTGAAGAATAACTTTATATGTACCATCATTATATGCATTACATGAGTTACAAAGTTGGTAGTAGGTCTGTGTTACATGAACAGAAGGTATTCTGGTAAAAACATGGTATTATACCAATGAAAGTGTTTTGTACAGAGTACAAAGGGCACAGATTGCACGGGGTGAGACCAAAGGTCCATGTAACTCAGGATCTTGTCTGTGATGCTGGCCAACAGTAAATGCCTAAGAAAGACTAGAAACGCAGGGCAATTGTACAGCAATACTTCTCTCTGTGCGCTCTTAGTCGTCAGCTAGTTGTGGTTCAGGGTCACAAGGCATCTCTTTGTTTAATGAAAAGCTTTTTCTGTAAACTTTTGTGCTTTTTTGTTTTGGGTTTTTTGAACACTGCATGTGGTTGGTTTTTTTTTTTTCTTTGTTAGCATCCACAGTGGTCTGTAACAATGAATTCCATGGCTTAATGCTGTGTGAATAAGGACCTTTGTTTTGAACCTACCGGATGATAGTTCATTCACTCCTATTATTTGGGTGAATGCAGTAATAGTCAGTCCCTATTCACTTTTCCATGCCACTCATGATTTGGCGGTCCCTATTATGACCGCCATCCCCCCCCTTTGGCCACCCCTCTTAAGGATGAAGAATCCCACCCCGGGTGTAGCTGGATATGTTAGCTAAATAACACATATGAAAATGTAATTGTGGGTGGGAGTTGTCACTGGTGGGAATTTTCTTGTAGAATCCTGGGTTTGGCCTGGTGCTTTTTCATGGTCCTTAATCACACTGATGTACTTGTTCATACCAACTACTGGTAGAGCAGTGGTGAGTTAATTCTGTGCATGTGTGTAGATGACTTGAAAAGCTGAATGTAAGTGCGAGTAAAATTGAGCCATTACACATAAGGATGATTATAGTTGTAAGTGATAGTACTATAGACCAAGAGGTAATAACTTGAAAATGAGGTTAGCGTGCCTTGGTTAAGTAATTGAGTATGAACTTCCAGGTCTCTGATATTGCTAAAGGGTTATGTTTTACTCTTGATTGTATTAATGGATGATGGTCAAATGTGGGTGGGGGAGTGACTTGATTCTTACATGTGGTGCAGCTCTGGTATAATATTCTCAGTTATGAGGTTATGAGTGAACAGCTTAAAGGATCTTGAAATGTTGGAGTGATTTCATTTCACTGGTCAAGTCTCTGGACAGCACAGTTTCTGCAGCAATGCCTGTGACTCAAGGTGCAAGGATTAACCTGTATGATTAAAAATCCATTTTGTGGCACACATGCAGGAAAATCTTCACTCTTGGGCTGTCTGACTTGGATCTAGAGGCCTGGCCGGTTTTGAGCTTAAGAAAGAAAAAGGAGAGAAAGTGTTTTATTAAGAGATTTGAGGAAGTTGAGTCTCTATACTTTAATGCAGAGAGTCTTGAGAGATTCTTAACAGCATACTTGCAGAGGGAAAGGAAATTAAATGTCAGAGGGATTCAGAGTATAATAAACACAAAATTACATTAGGGGGTTGAAGTTGAAAAATAAGAGGAACAATTAAAAAAAAAATTTGTGGTGACTAGTGTTACATGGCATGGTGGATCTTTTTTGTCTGAAACCTGAAGTTCCAGACTGGATGGATCTTGTGTATGCTTTAATAGCTCTTAATGCTTGAATCATAACTATTTCCTCTGTGGCCCCCATTATGCAGGAGGCTGCATTTCTTAAAGGACCATAGTGTTCACTTTAAGTCTTCAGGTTAGTAAACGTGACGGTATAGCAAGTGCTAGGAAGCTGTGGACAGGTTTGCCTGAATGTTTGTTCTGTGTTCTTTACATATCTCTCGGGTCCTTTGGTCAAGCTCTAGTACTTCTCAAGATGGCCACCAGACCTGTGTTTCTGTATCATAAATGGTCTGTGCTCTTTGTTTTGAAAGAAATAGGTGGAATACCTCTGGGGTTTTCTCTGGCTAATTGTGTTCAATAGCATTTTGTTGTTCGCAGCTATAATTGCTTTGTGTCACATTCTTTATCATCTCGCTGGGCAAAGCTTCATTCTAGTTCTTGTTGGAAATGTCTTCTGAGACACTGCTCTGTGAATTTGAGCCAACGCAGTGATGGCCTCTTAAGCAAAAGCCTTTGGAATATAAAGCACAAGGGTGTTTTCCATCTCAGGTGGATTTTGCTTCTTCTTTCAGGTGTCCTGAAAAATGGCTGATGATATTGATATTGAAGCAATGCTTGAAGCTCCCTACAAGAAGGTGAGAAAAATGTGCCAGTGAGGTCCCGTTTACCTTAATTTAGCATTATTCATGAAACTACTGCTGAACTGTAAACTAACATCCCTGGAGCCCTCATGATTTATCTTATTGGAGATGCATTACATGTAACTTACAAGTAAATATGTACTGTTAATGTAATTATATTGTGCAGTAGTTTCACTTCAGCGTGATGAATAAATGCCCATCTATCTCTCTTTGTAGACTTGCCTAACGATATCTCACCTCTACTCCCATGAATTCACCTTTGATTCCAGTGTGAACTGTCAATCATAAGGTAGTAATTGAGTGACGTATCGCTGTACCGTGGTCCCCTAGGTTTAAAAAAAAAAAAAACAAACAAACCAAACAAAAAAAAAAACCCAACACCCAAAACCAACCAACCAAAAAAAAAAGCAAAACAAAAAAACCCCCAAGAAACCAAAAACCTCTCCTAAAATTGCCAGGTCCAGTTTGGTATAGCAACAAGGTGAATGCAGTGGTTTGGGAAAACAGCAGGGTTCCAAGAATAACCTTTTCACCAGTCCCATGGCAAGTAAATATTTGAACAGTCTGCTCAGTGCAAGAAGAGTGAGACTTGCTTTTAATGCAGAAGACTGGTGGTGGTTAATCTTTTAACAGGGCAGATGGAAATCAATTGCTGAGTGAACGAATTTACGGAAATTCTTGGATCCCTGAATAGAATGTTCTTAGCAAGTAAAAGACAGTATCACAGTCTGCGGTGTCATTCTAAAATAAGCTCTTGTATTCTTCTGTCCTAGTTGTTTAATTAGGAAATGTCAATTTTTATGCAAAATTTTTATCAATTAGCGTAGTGATGTCTTTTACCTAAACCAGCAGCAAATGAATACTGTCTTTTTTTGGTTTTCACCAAATGGTGGTGAAGTGTTAACATTATGCATGCTTTAGCACTGGTTTCGCAAGAAATGTATATTAAGTTTAAGTTGCTTAGGAATTGTACTTTTGGTGTAACTGATGTGATTAAACTGTAAAGCAAGTATACAAATTTATATAGCAGCTATTGTTAGTCTATTCTACAGTGTTTATTACAACCATGTCATGAATTTTGGATGAGCATTTGTAAGTTTTAGGTGGTATATTTAGTTTATGTAATATTTAGCAGTTACATTAAAATCTTGAAGTGAAATTTGTAAATTGTTATGTTAAAATTCTTGTGTCCTGGTTTAACATGGATATTTTCCATGTAAACAGGTATGGAAATAGGGAATGTTTAGGCTGGACTGGTGGATTATTGATGACTTTCTTGGGAGTCGACGTTACTAAAGCAGTGTGAATCCCTGTTTGCTTCAGGGCGAGATGTGTGACAGAGGTGACATCAAGCTCTTACAACCCTTCAACGAAAATGAGCGAAGATCTCGGGAATGGCATCGGTCACAGGAAATCCATAGTGGCTGGCGGCTAGCGTAGCCACTGGGGCTTAGGCAGAGATATAGCCTTGGTACTGATCAGAGGGGCATACAAACACAAACCTGAAACTTCCTCTTACATTTTATAGAAATAACATTTAACCACTTGAGTGCTGAATTCTACAGGATAACTTGCTCTCTAAACCATGTAAGGAAGTATCTACAATTTAATATACACTTTTAAATGATGTAAGTCTTGTATTTTGTAATTGTATGACTTAAACTTAAGCAGCAAAGTGGTTAAACATGCCTACCTAAATTTTTAAAGCTTTCCACATTAAACTGTAAATAAGTAATTTAGTATTAAAATTTGTTTTGTATTTTCTTATTCCTATTCCCATTACCCTTTGACCACTTGAAATGTTTCCGCTTCGTCCTCACGATGTTCTTCTATCAACCCTGCTTAGGATGAGAACAAATTGAGCAGTGCCAATGGCCACGAAGAACGCAGCAAGAAGTAAGTATTTTCTCAATTCTCTACATTTGGGGGGAGGCTGCTGATTTTTGTAAACTTCCGAATGCATGTCAGTAGTGTTTAGGGAAATAAAATGGAAAAGCTTGATACTTGCAATTGCTGCAACTGCAGCAATTATGAAATTTTCTTTTGTTTACAAATGTAGTTACACCCTTGTCACTGATGTCATCAAAGTTGTGGAAACATTTAATGTTAGCATCAGATGAAAATACAGGCTTGGTAGTTTCAGCATATTGAATTTCTTTTTTGTTGCTTTAGCAATGCAATGGATTTTGCATTTAAAAAATGTATTTGGTGTAGAATTTTGTGATTTGGAACAATGCAAAACATTTAAAGATAACACTGCTTTCTTGAAAAGGTTTAGGGTGTTGGATCACCTCCCTCTATTCCCCCTCGCCTTTGAAAATGTCTAAATTTCTTGTTTCTAATTTAAATTTTATAAAATTATAGTATAACCTTTTTAAAGAACCAGAGTACAAGCCCACCTTCTTCAGGAAGCATAGTTCCAGGGTCTGAACACCTGCTGATGACACAAACAGTCTGGAATCAAATGAGAAATTTGAAGAAAAATGCCTTGCATAAAAGAGTCTATTAAATACCCCAAATAAGCGGAAGGTTTTTAAGTCTGTAAAATAAATTCCTTACCTTACAAGCATCATTTGGTGATGAGATAGTTGATGTAGGAAGAATAATTATGAATGTGATAGTTGAGTAAACAGTAACCAGTGCGTTTTTGTAATATACAGCTAAGTTAAGAAGTCGGCATGTATGCTGTTGTCGTCATCTGAAATCATACAGATGAAATGCTGAAGGGATCCAAAGAACATTTCTTCCCAGGTGTATAAATACTTGGGAAATGAGAAGTCCAATTCCAATGACAGACTTTATGCTGGAATCTAATAATCTAAAATTGATTATACCTTATATCTGCATTCTAAACAATACTGTGAACATCATTCTCATGTTAAATACTGAGACCTCTAAAACCCCATCAAAAGCAGCTGCTCCCAATATTTTTAAGTTCTGAATTTTTATTGCTTTAAAATACATATATATGGCATGTAAAACCCTGCTTTTATTTGGATGGCTAGTCTCAAAATATAAACTGGGATCTGAAAGAAAAGCAGTGGTTTTAGAACTGGTTCTGACCTTGGTTTATGGTAGAATGATGAGAATACTAGAACATATTTCAGTTCATTTCCTTAGTTGCTGTAACATCTCTAAGACTAAAGCAATGACATTTGTTGCCTTTCTGCCCATGGTCCCATTTTCAGGTTGGACCTGTATGCTCTGAGTTTGTATTTCTAATTCAGAAAAACAGTAAACTAAGTTTAGAAAAAAATTATATTATTGTAAAATAGAAGAAAGTCAAGGTGTTTTGCTACTGTTAGTCTTGCAATGTTATTTGTGGTGCGGAGTTTCACCTTTTTTCCACTTTCCTAATTGTACCCTCATGTCTGTTCAGAAATGTTGCTCCTGTGGTATCTCACCATTTCAGTTCTCAAGTTAGCAATTGCTAGAAGGTTAGTTATTCTTGTACCGCAGTTCTCTGATAGTATGAAGCTTTTTGACTCAGAATTTTGATTTGATACAGCTGTTGTTCCCCTAAGTCTTTAAAGAATGAACCACACCATTTTGTATGTGACTTGTGACAGTGTAGTCTGTTGCTGAAGACTAAGGTGTGTATAGGCTTTACAAGACTTCTTGCTTTGCTTATCAATTGTTTGGAGTGTCAGTGTCTAGAGGATATTCTTTCTTTACTTCAGTTGGACAGTACTGAAAGAAGAATCAAACTGTCAGGAAAACCATAATCTGCAGCAAACATCAACTAAAAAATAACATTAGATTCAGTGTGCAGCTTTCAATAATTGTCAAATCATACTAAATTTCTGTTTTAGAAATTGGAAGGATTAAGAATCTGCAATTTTACTAGATGTCTGTACTGTATGTCCAGCTTAATCATGATTGGAAAGCAGAATGTGGATCTTGACTGTTAGGAGTCTTTGCATGCAAAGAGGGTCCAGCTCACAGTTGGATAGCGAATAGTTGCTGTCTTTACTGAAGACTAGCTGCAGTTACTAGTTACTGGTAATGGCCAGTATATTGAGATACAGGTAGTATTTTTTGGAGCTATTACGATAGTGTTTGAGGGTTTTAACTTAGGGAGATGCTGGTAAGTGATGGATCCTAGGAGGGAGAGACTATGTGTGCTTAACTGTCACAAACTGCATTACAGTAGGAAGTGTGGCTAAGTGATATTGATGCTGATCATTCTGGATTTCTGACTGGTGTCATCTTATCAGAGATTGTGAAGCTTCTGAATATCGGGTTTTGATGCGGCAGCTTCTCTGTCCATACAAAAACATTAGAGAAACCGATGGGGTATTGTAGATAAGTAATCAATTAAAAATGAAATATTCTGGTTTTTAAAACCAAATCACAAAATGTTTCTCTTGAGAGATAAATACTAAGATAGTTTTAATGGGTCTTCCTAGGTGGAGAATGGAGAGCAAAAGCTGCTAATGATTATTAGGCTCAGTTAGATGTGGTAGCTGAGAGATTTTTACTTTAGTAATTGAAACTAACTAGAAGTCTTACTTTCTATGGCCATGTGTAAACTAACAGGGATGAACTTTTTTAAAAAGGGGGGTGGTGGCATACAAAGTTTTTAAGTGTATGAGTGACCACTTTGAAAAAAGATGGTGTATGTAATCAGAAGGCCCAAAAGGAGGAGAGGAAAAATTCAATAGCAAAGGATGTTTTGAATTTCAAAAGTTAGCAGCAAAGTTGGTTATTCCCAAAATTTAGTTTGAGGTGAATTACTGTCTTAAGTAATTGCTTGAGCATCTGTTTAACGTGTTTTATGTATGCATACATACAGAATTTAAAAACTAGGAGACTGTAAATTTTTATGGTCCAAGCCTGAGTGAGAGTAAAAAAAATAAATTGCAAATAACCCAAAAGTAGTCTGCCAAGAATGGAATAGTGGCTTACTGGTTTTCAGATATGAGGTATAATTGACTTACAGATTTTGAAAGTTTAAATATTCTAAGTAAATGGTTAAAATCATGAAGATCTGCAGTTTGCCCCAAACCTGTAAGAGCCGCAGACTTAGGAAAGCAAGTGACTTATGGGTGGGAGTAGCAAGTAGGAAGTAAAACTCTTAGGCAGTGTGTTAAGACTGATGGCGGGGAAGTATCAAGAAAAAACAACCTTCCTTTCCCTCAGACTTGCCTCTTCCTTTCTATTTTTGTTGTGTTTTGTTTTACTTTGCTGTAAAAATATAATTTATTCTTAGCATCTTGATGGTGTATTTACAGGGCGTTTGAAAGATACATGAAGTACCGCATTTAGTATGTACTAGATCTAATGCAGGAAATATCTTTTCAGTCCTTTTACTCTTCCTGGAAGCATTCTTTAGTGATTACAAAATTTAAAATAAAAAAGTGCTTTGAAGCACTTTATATTGCTCATGATGAATTTTAAAAGATTGCTGACATGCTTAACCACCCATTTAACAAAAGAAACTTGTATAAATACCAACAGGTAGAAACTTCTTCCTATCCATGTCTGTGACATCAGGTTAGAGGAACTGTGGAGTATGAGGTAAATAATAACACTGAGCTACATGTGTAACCAAAGTTGTATTTTTCTTTCTCAGGAGAAAAAAGAGCAAGAGCCGAAGTCGAAGCCATGACAGGAAGAGGAGCAGAAGTAAGGAACGCAAACGGAGCCGAGATCGGGAAAGGAAAAAGAGCAGAAGCCGGGAAAGGAAACGGAGCAGAAGCAAAGAACGCAGACGCAGCCGTTCTAGAAGTAGAGATCGCAGATTCAGAGGCCGCTATAGAAGTCCCTAGTAGGTTATTTATGTAGAGTTGCATGTGTGCTGCTTCAGTGTATGATGTGGAAGCTTAAAAGTTTCAGTCTCTGCTTTCTAAATTGGTCACTAATCATCTCAAAGAAGGTGAGAGGTTAAGGTTGAAGAGTGTCAATAAATAAGGAGTGATAAAGAGGAGGACAGTAACATATCCAGTTCCTCCTTCTAGTTTTCATTCTTACCGGAACGCAGAAAGATGCAAAAGCAAGTGAAAGAATGTGTACAACTGACTAGAAAACAAAGTTTATCACAAAATTAAAATAACGAGCAACTTTTCTACATGTCCTAACTATCTTCAGTATATGAACCGAACGGTTCAACTGTCAAAAAATGAATAGTAGTCTATGACTTTGGTTACAAGCTCATAAAACCTTCTGCTTGTGTTACTAAAGGTTTTTACTGGGTTGCTGGTCTTAAACACTTACTGCATAAACACTTCCTGTGTTTATGCATCCAAACTGGAAGCGTCTTGTCTTAGTAATGCCCATGCATTGCATATTTGCCCTGCTTTTTCTCAGACTTGTTTAGAGGCTGTGGAAGAATTCTTCAGTTCCTCTCAGATCTTTGGCTTGATAGAACTTCTGCTATAGGTAGTTCCTGACTAGTTGTAAATCATTTCTCAAAAACCATTTTTTCATCAGTGTTTATTCTATGTTTCTGCTGTTTTGTATTCCTGCCCTCCCCTTTGCTCCCCATCACCTCTTTTTGCCTTCAAAGAAGCAGAAAAACAGTGAGAACTGGGCTGCATGCTTGGCTTTCATTGATTACCTAAGGCTGCTGTTTGTGTCTGCTTTTGTCCGGGTCTCATCTCAACTGTTGTCAAATTTCAGACTGCAAATCATGTCAGAAGCAGGCATTTGAAAAGGATGTATTTTTTTAATCATGGCATGTAATGTCATCCGCAATGGAGAAATCGCTCTCAAGATATTTGAGAAGACAGTGTTTACCTTCTGATAAATTGCAGACTTCTACAGTTTTCTGCACATGAATGTTTTTCTAGGTGGCTGGGTCCCAATCCAGGGAATGCATTCCTTTTGGTACTCCTGGAATGCAAACAAAAAATGCCTGAGGTCTCAGGGTCTTGTTTTGTACTAAGTCACCTGGATGTTGGCGTTTTCATGATGAAAACATACTGCAACTCCTGGCTCTGCTAAGATGCAGTGGCATCCTGTGCTTCCATCAGTCCTGTGTACTTGGGGATCATAGAGCATACCAGCCCTGCTTTTACTTTGTCTCAAGTATCAGGCCTGTCAGAGCCTCTGTAAAGCTGCCCTGGGCTTCAGCTCTGAAGATTTCAGTTGTGCACAGTTGGCATGTTTTCTGCAGCTTTTTGGCACCTGTAAGATTATGGTAGCTAGTTGGGTTGTGCCAGTGCCACCGTTGTGGCTCCAGACTGCCTCATAGACAGAGGACCACGATCAAGATCTTCAGCCTTCCGTATGTGGAGGCTGCCAGTCTTCTCACCTCCAATGTGGTGTTGCGTGGAGAGGATGTCCTTCATCTCATCACTTGGTTGGGAGTTGCTGCATTCTCCTAGCTGTGTTGGAGGGTTTTGTTCTTTGTTTTTCCTGTTGTCGCTGGGTGAGAAGGTTCTTCACCTGGAGAAATTTGGGAGTTTCAGTGTTCCAGTCTTCCAAAATAATTTCCTCAAGTAGAGGTTGAAATTATGGACATTACTACAATAACCCATGTCTGTTTTAATGTATCAAGGTATGTTGTACCAGGAAGGTAAAATTGCGAGGGGTCTTTTTCATTGTTCTGATACTCTTCCATAGCTGCTCTGGGCAATTTCTCTGGTATTGAGAGACAGTGGACAAAAAGGCGAGATAATCTAATATCTCCTGAGGATACAAGGTTGTGCTTATTGGTTTGGCAGTGTTGTGTTCCCTGCTCCAGTTGCTGAATTGTTGCTTTCATTTAACCAAGTAGAATTTTAGTGTTTAAAATAGTTGAGTGGAAGACTGGTATAGGGCAACTACGTGCATCCCAGAGGAATTGGTACTGACTGTTGCGTAGCCAGAAGTTGGCCATCATTTGCTTCTAGGTCATGGATGATGCTCTTGAAGTGATACACATGCTAATGCGATTCCAGAATTCTAGTTTTGGCTCACAAGGTGCCAAAGAGAAGGACCTCAGAAGATGGGGGAGAACAAGTCTTCATTTCCCGTTCAGGACTCTTCAATGCAGAGACTCGCCTTTGTTATAGAGGAGGCTTTTGGGGAGACACAAGTTCTGGAGGTGAAGCCTCCTGCATCACCAGCCTCCTTTGAATCAGATACTTTTGGATCTACCAAAAATGATGCTTCCATATGAAGAAACTGTCTCTGTAGCAGTGCCATCAGCTCAGCATTTCAAAAGTAACTACCAGAATGCTCTTGCTGGCTGGAGAATTTGAATCTGGAATCCCACCGTGTGGGGCTGTTCAGACACTTCCGAGATCGTGTTACTGCAGGCAGTGGTGTAGCTGACTGCAACATCTAGTTGAAAATGCTTTGTGGTTGAATCTTTTTTTTTTTTTTTTTAATTTTACTCCTCTTCCTCATGATCTTTCTCATTTGCTTTATAAAGGCACCTTTTCAAGCTAATATCTCTAAACTGAGATGGTTTTGCTGTGGGGGGTGATATGGAAGCGTTTCTGCAATAGTGAGAAGAGAAAGTCTAGTATAGGTAATTCTGAAGGAAAAGGAGAAGAGTGTGCCACAGAGAACCTGAGGACTTTGAATTTGTCATCTTTAAGCATGAGATGGTGATTAAATGTTTTAATTTTTTAAAATTGGGTGACTGGTTTGCATTGCTTAGTGTTCACAGGGTTTTTTAATGTTATTCTTCTTGTGTATCTTGCTCCTTAAGTGTTTTACAGTTGCATTATTAGGTCTGTTGAGAGAAAGAACTTGAATAAGTATTCTTGCTCAGACATCTGTCTGACAAATCCCAGCTACTTCTAACGTACAGTAGAAGTCACTTAGACTGTCCTGTTGCTATTCTTGAACCAAGAATTTGGGCAAAGCTGCTGGGAAAACAGGGTTATTACATGAGAACTGAAAGTTCATTGTGATTCTCCTGGACTTTGTTAGCCAAAGCTTGCCTTTTCTGAGACTCTTTTGTTGGAGTCTTGGATATGACTGAGCAGGTGAAAGCTGATACTTTACTGGCTGTCTTCTGACCTGACTGTTGTTCTTGGGCCATGTGGTATCACGTAGGTTTAGGAAAAAATGTACCTAGCTGTGCTTTGGCTATACACAGGACTTAGTGTGTTTGGCTTATGAGGAAGGTATCTACTAGACATAAAGACAAATTGCTTGTGATTCGGTGCTTCCATACATGATAGCAGGAACCAAGCAACAATTGCAGAGTTCTTATGCAGTAGGAGGAAAGAAGAAAATTTCCCTGAGACCTACAGCTTTACAAGCAAGACTCCTTAGAAAAACTCAAAGAAATGTGTCCTGCAGAATACTGTTGGATCTTCAGAAGGTAACTTGGGCCATCAGCTTGCCCCAGGCAGCTTTCTGCTCAGTCTGTTCCAGTGGTCTGTTATAGCTTTAGTTTGCTGGTTTTCTTTAATGTTTCTCCCATGTAGTCATATAAGTAAGATACTACTTATTTGTCAGAATTGAAAACGGAAGAGAGATTTTTGGAGTTGGGTGGTGTGGGTTTTTTTTCCTTGGAAGTTGTGCATGTATTTGAAAACTGTTATTGTGTATCTTCTCAGGTTTAGACAAACACTTAAAATGCCTCTTTCACTGTTTCCTTAAAAACTCATGGTCTTGATTATTGACCATCATTTAGTTGGTCTTCATTTTAATATTGTGGAGTCACTGTAATTGGCTTGTCTTGCTGCATTTAATTCAAATGGAGAACACCATGTTCTACATCAGGAGATGTGAAGATGCAAGGTAATCTCATCTCTGATAAGAAGCCAGCCTCTGGAATTAGTACCAACATTCCCAGATGCAGCTTTTGGCAGTACGTGTCATAGACACTGGAGAACCTGAAGGGACGCTCTCAGCAGTCATTTGTCTGAACTTGAGTAGGAAAAGGAGTAATTTATCCTAGGAAAAAGAAATTGGTTTTGATCAATAGTGATCTCATATCAACATGTGCCTGTTTATGTCTTATTTTCTCTTAATAAGTAGTTATTTCTCTTCATAAGTAGTTTCTAAATGGTCTTTTTTCTTTATTTTTTTTTCCAGTGTTATACAGGGCCATATTTCCCTTGCTTTAACCCAGCCAGCATGGTTTTGGATCTTGGCCCACTACTTCAACCTGTGTCATGACATGTTTAAAAATGGGCATCCTCCTCCTTGTTGTGGATGCTGAGTTTAACTATAAGCATTACTGCTCCACTGAGTAGCAAGAAGACGTTTATCAGACAAATTGGTTGGCTAAGTTGACTTAGTGAAAGACTACTTAATGCCTTCAGACTGCCGTGTCTTTCGGGGTGTTTTCACATCAATTTAGTCACAGCAGAAGGAATCAATTCTGTGCAGATGGGAAGACAAACCCCCTAGCATTCAGTCTGTGCAGCAGTGCCTCTGCCACTTGGTGGATATACAGGAAGAACATTAACAGGTGGTGTTCTTTGCCTTGTATCTACAAGGATATCAAGTTCAGGGAGAACATGATAGGATGAATCTTACTATTCATGACAGTGTCTGTTACCCTGTGCCACAATAACTAGCAAGAGAACTGTCCTTAACATGGAAGCCATGGGCAGATTGCCATTTGTTCTAACAGCCTTTGTGAAGCCTGGAGAACTAAAATTAGATTCAGCCAAGAGATTGGATTCTTTCTGTGGTGATATGTCTATATAAGGTTAACTGCTGGTTTAAATGGTTCTGTGTTTTGATGTCCATTAAGAACTTTAAGTAAAGGAAGCTGCGTTTACATATTCGTAGCGCTTCAGTGGCTAGAGCTGAGACAACATTAGTGAATGCGTCCCTTGCAGATGTCTGCAGGGAGCTACTTTGGTTTCCCCTTGAAACCTTCAGTTTTAAAATTGAGTTTTAAATTTACTCAAATTGCATTTGAGTAAATAGTCCTGCCAGCACCCCTTTGCTCAAAACTCTGAGGCTGAGTTCCGGGCCATTAATGTACTACTTTGCAGTCATCAGTAGGGTGTCCACATATACATGTGGACAAAAAAAGTGTAAAGAAGATTACAGCAGTAACTGTAGCTCAGAATATTTTGCACATACAAATGTGCCATGTCTGGCTGGCTCATGATTGAGTTCTTCCTTGGAGTCCTGCATATTCTGGCATTTTGCGATGCAGATGAAACTGAGCAGGGAGCATATTCTGTGCCTTTTGGTTTGGAGTGCTGCACGTTGCTTATGCATGCTATGGGTGCTGCTAATGGAAAATGTTTACAAGACCAGGTGCAAGGGTGGGTGAGCACTTGCAATGTGATGTGACTACAGACAGGGAATCTTGAATTCAGGTACTCTGGTGAGTAATGTCTGTCTTTGCTTTTGCCGTAGTTCTGGTCCAAAATTCAACAGTGCCATCAGAGGGAAGATTGGTCTGCCTCACAGCATCAAATTAAGGTTTCTGAGTTTTCTCTACTTTTTATTGTATCATTAATAGGTTTTTGTTTAAAATCAAACTGATATATTTGAAGGTTTTCTTATAGTCTTGTTGATATCTCTTTATAGCAGACGACGCTCCAGAAGCAAAAGTCCCTTCAGAAAAGACAAGAGCCCTGTTAGGTAGGAATTTTTACACATGTGGTGGGGTTTTTTTTGGCTTGGGTTTGGTGGGGTTTTTTTGGTTGTGTGGTTTTGGGGTGGTATTTTTGTGTCCAATTGACATTGGAAAAGTAATGGTGAAATAACGCATGACTGCTTGCTCTCCAGCTTGTACTCACAAGTAATGCTGGAATTCATTCAGAAAGCCCATGAGAGGAGAGCATTGAAAATATGTTGCTTTCTCCCCATGTCATAAACTATCTCTTCCCTCCCCATGACAGTGTACAATTGTAAATAATGTCAGTTTGCAAAACATCTTGCTTTGCTTTTTTGTGTTTCTGTATTCTCAATCTTCTTCCTGTTAATTGTGATTTAAATTAGCTTGCTTTCCTGCTAAATCTTACTTTAATAATCTTAAGTACAGAATGGAAAAGTACTGTACAAATGCTTCTTTTTCCTATTCAGTATGTATTGATGTTATTTGTAGAGAAGCCAGGTACCTTTGAAATCCAAGAGGTGGTTATCCATTTTTAGGCTTCTCATTTAAAGGAATTGGATTTAGATAGCTGCTAATGAGATTATTCTCTAAATTAATGCAGTTAAATTTAACCAATCTTGCTTTGTTTCTTTTAATTATTAGCAAACTCTTACTGAGATAATTTAGTTTAAATTTTTCTTGTGTATTCTCAGTAATTTTTTTAAATATTTATAAAAATATAAATACATATTACATGACTGGAAACTCAGTCCAGGATCCAGCATGCTAATTCTGTCCAGTACTTAAGTACAAGTCAAATTTTTTTAGATTTGAAGCTTTAACACCTTAAAAGCGGTGCATCTAATTTCAGCTAATGATCAGTATAGAAATAAAATTAATCTAGTGATTCTGGTGTAAAGGATGAGAGTAATTATTCACTATTTATACTTTTTTTATGGGTTAACAAGCTGAAACTGTAAAATGAGGACTGGGAATTCTTTTTGTATAGATGTCAGTATTGTTTATGCAGTGGCTGTAGTGACTCTGAAGTGACTGGGTAGATGTAAGATTTTAGTTTGCAAAGCCAAAAAAAAAAGTTCGTACTACTCGTCTGAGAGTTCAGACAGCTAGTCTGTGATCATTAATCCTGTTTTCCTTTGTTTTCCTGTCCTTTCATCTCATCTTTTTGACTGCAAGCTTCCTGGTGGAACTGTTACCTGTTCTGGACAGTAGCAAAATGGCACCTCTGTTTAGTTGGGGCTTCTGTACTTAAAATACAATTTGCCAGTCATATTTAATGCTTACAGTTGAAACAGAGATGTTTAGTCATGTTAAGTAAAAATATTATTATTATTATTATTATTATTTTAATATTAGGTATTCCCTTCGGTTCTTGACCCTGCCTTTTTTAATATGGCAGGTGTATTTTTCCCCCATCAGACTTCGAAGTACTGATTATTTAAAGTTTCGTGCATGGTCCAGAGATGAGTTATCTTAATTCAGGTTATTTTTTTTTCTTTTTTAACTGAACTTTTCTCTTTCCAGAGAACCTATTGATAATCTTACCCCTGAAGAGAGGGATGCTCGAACAGTATTCTGCATGCAGCTGGCTGCAAGAATTCGACCGAGAGACCTGGAGGAATTTTTCTCTACAGTAGGGAAGGTAATTAATAGGGACATTAAAATGATTCTGAGTACTTCCTCAAGCTGTCCTAGTACAGGATTGATATTCTGCAGAATTGTAATCAAGTGGCTTTCTGGAGCTTCCTATACAGGTTAAAGGAGGGGGGTGTGTGTGAATGATGACCAACATTCTGATATAGTTTCATGTTCAAAGCCTTTAAGGAGTTCATTGTTCAGCATGTGATGTGATGGAAAACATGGCAATGCAATTCTGATTCAAACAACTTCATTTTTCAGAAGTTTCAGTCTTTTGCAGATAGGTCTGCCAGTTACAGTGTAATTTAAAAATGAGTTCAACTTTTAATTCTGAAAAACTTTGTTCCATCAGCTGTAAGTTTCTGGCTTAAAGCATTACGGTGCTGCAAGTATTCTATTGCCCCTGTTGCTGTAGCATGCTACATTTGACTTTGAATGGCATCTTTTAATGCTAGCTTGCCTCTGGGATATGTTTGTAAAGGTAGCTTTATGCTGCTCCAGATTTGCAGCATAATTACAAAGCCATTGGCTTGGCAAATAATCATCCGGTTATTAATACCTTTCTGAGAAATGGACTCCATTAGTTTTTTTTCCTTTATCTCTAACAGCATTTATATACTTGCCTTTCAGGTTCGTGATGTGCGAATGATTTCGGATAGAAATTCCAGGCGTTCAAAGGGAATTGCTTATGTAGAATTTGTTGATGTTAGTTCAGTGCCTCTGGCAATAGGACTAACTGGACAGAGGGTCTTGGGTGTACCAATCATAGTACAAGCATCACAGGTAAGGAGTTGTAAACCTCATCTTTATTCATGTTGATGAATTTATTCTTTATCTTGCTGGAAAACTTACCATTTGAAAATTTAGTTACCATTGAATGTTTGGAACCTTACCAAGAATTGTTATTTAAGCTAATTATAAATGGACCTTTGTTTCCCATAGTTGACAGACAAATTAAAGTAATTCAAAGTGATACAAATGCATTTTGAAAATACAGATGTTAAAAAAGTAGTAATAATGAAACCTGTAATAGCATTACAGAATTGTAGTATATATTATGTATGCTTTCCAGCACGTATAAAAAGTAAAGTGTTAATTTACTAGATACAAGCCAGAATTCTGCATGCAGTTGTTCCAATTTGAAGGCTTTTGGAAGCTGTCTCTCTATACTTGGTCATGGCCTTGGATTTTGTAGATTTTAAGTTAAAGTCCAATGGATAGTGTGCAGATTATAAAACAGCTTGTATTTTTTGGTGAATCTGCTAGTTTTAATCTGGTAGATGTATACTGCTGATGTTAGAGTTTTTTATCAAATTCTTACAGAAGGTGAGTTTTTCTTCCTTCCTTTTCTTAGGCAGAGAAAAACAGAGCAGCAGCAATGGCAAATAATCTGCAGAAGGGCAGTGCTGGTCCTATGAGGCTCTATGTGGGATCATTACACTTCAACATAACTGAAGATATGCTTCGAGGAATTTTTGAGCCATTTGGCAGGGTAAATTTTAATTTGGCATGTTGTGTTATGGTAGTTTATCTGAAAAACCTAGATTAGTTGTAGAGCACTTGCAGCTTCTGGAAATAATTCAGCTTCACAGCTGCAAAACATTTGTTTCTTTTTCTGGCTCTTCTGTGTCTGTACATCCACAAGGTGTTAGATACATAGTATTGGAGAACAAATGAGAACCTTGATTTGTGGTGTGGTCCAGTGATTTTGAATGGCAGGTCTTATGAAGGAAAGCTGAGAATTCAGTGAGTACCTAAAACTACAAAACAAAACACCAAACAAAAAATCCCTACGTTATATCCTGCTTCTGCAGCTTGTAAATATCTCCCTCCTGCCACGTGATTGTGAATGGGGGCTCCATTTCACAGGTTAAAGCACAAAGCACAGAATCAGGTCTGAGTTCTGTTCACTGTGAGTGTAGTAGCTTCATCTGTTTCTGAGGATTTTTGCTTAAGTTTTAGCTCATGTTACTACCATGAACTAGCGGTGTGTCCCGTACAGCTCTGACACAGGCCCCTTTTCACTCCTGATATTAGGCCCCAGCTTGCAGCGTGGTAATATGTTTTTGTAGAGAGAATTATGGAAGTGAGCAGATTGAATCTGAAGTTTCCAGTGGAGTCATAATAAATGTTAGCCCTACTGTGCTAACTAAGGTATCATGGGTATATCGTTATTAGATAGGGGAAAAAGTAATATAGTTAATATTCTGCTTAATGGAAAAAATAAAAAAATTATCAAGCCCATAGATGTTTTTTCATACTATCTTTGGATATTAACTCTGCCTCATATATTCTGTAACAGTGCTTTTTCAGATGCTTTATTCAGATTCAATATGTGTATCCCTTTAATTCTGTTGTGCAAAAGCCTGGAAAATTGCAGCAGTTTATTAAATTTTAGTCTACGTGGCTGTTCTTGTTTTGTTTTCTCTCAAGGTCTGGCAGTAGAATTAATGTAGTTCAGGAGGCTTACATGTAGAGCTTTGAAGGTTTTACCTTCTCCTGTTTCCATATACTCCAGTCTTAAACTCAGTTCTTCCTCTTACTTCTGTGTTGCTGTCTCTTCCCAACGCTATTTTATGGCTCATGGATGACTTACTGAATTCAAAACTTATTAGTAACTGTAAACTTCTAGGAGTTCCCGTATGCCAATAATTATTTTAAATGTGCACCTTTTTCTTAAAGCCCCTGGTCAAAGCCACGCAAACTGCTTTTCTTACCTTGTAAAATGGAGTTTCTCAGCGTATGAGATGCCATGACTATAATGTTTCAGTTAGGATTTGATGATGTCTGCATGCTCATTGTCTGCTAGAATGTTGCATCAGGACCAAGCCTCTGCCTGTAGCTGGACTCAACATAAAGGATAAATTGTACATCACCCTTATGTTTACCTCTTTCTGTTTTAGTATCAAAGTACATATCTAGCTGCCTGTACACTAATTTTGACTGGAGGAAGGAATGAGGAACTGACTAAAAAAATAGTGGTTTCACATTCATATATGTATATTTGGCAGGGCTGTGTTCAGGTTTTGTTTTGATATCTTGTGGTTTGTTCCAAAATGTCTGATAATAAGTAGCTTTATTCTTTATTTTTAGATTGAAAGCATTCAGCTGATGATGGATAGTGAAACTGGACGCTCAAAAGGATATGGATTTATTACGGTATGAATAGAGTTGCCAGACTTCTTAGACAATATCTGAGTGTAACCTTCCCATTAGTAGTATAGCTTACTCCGCAGTCTCTCTTAAGTCTCATCTTGGAAATGTCATGTTGCAGGACATGCAACAATGGCCTTTTTCTTTGTTTCTGCCAGTTCTCTGTGGGTATTGTGGTTGAATGCACATGTTTAGAATGGAATAGTATGCTTTGTGGCCAATGCCTGGTAAAGCAATGCTGTCTTCTGCAGGCAAAGATACTAGTAAAGACCGGCATTCTCACAGTGCTGTGAAAATGATTGAATTTGAGCTTTTTAGGGGAAATAAAATTTTAGAGGCTAAAACTTTCCATTGAAAACATCTTTCCTCTTTATCCTCAGATACGTAATTTTGTGAACTTGGGTTTCTTGACTGACCTGACAAATTGTCATGGAAAAAAAAGTCTCAGCTGGGACCTCTGGCACTGGGGGACAAATGAAACCAAACTAACTATATAGTTGGTATTTGATTGTTTTAACACTGACAAAATATTTGTATATTTAATTTGATGTTACGCAGCATAAAGCAGAACATCTGTTAGGATTAGCCAGTAAATGCATGGCAGTTACAGGGTTACAAAGGAAATGACTCATTCTTGGAAAGTGTTGAAAGAGAACCGCAGCCATGACTTCTGTTGATTGCAATATCTAGATGCTCTAGCTTCAACAATAATGTATATTTACATATATTCTTACTAAATATGAGAAAGTAAATATCCAAAATTGTGTGTGCTTGGTTTAAATGGAAAATAAGGAGCACATTTAAGTTAGCTTGTAGCTACTGTTACCTTAAATTTAGCATTTCTCATGTTTATGTAACTGTGGATATTGCATACAGTAGAAGTGTTGTTGAAGCCTGTAGGCAGTAGTACTGAATTCATATTTTTTCCAATCTACAGTTCTCAGACTCTGAGTGTGCCAAAAAGGCCTTGGAACAACTCAATGGATTTGAGCTGGCTGGTAGGCCAATGAAGGTTGGACATGTAACTGAGCGCACTGATGCTTCCAGTGCTAGTTCATTTTTGGACAGTGATGAGTTGGAACGGACTGGAATTGACTTGGGAACAACTGGTCGCCTTCAGCTGATGGCAAGACTTGCAGAAGGTATGTGTGATGATTAATAGGAAGTGTGTGAAAACACAGAAGTTCACAGAATTTGAATTAATACACCCCACAGAATATTATGTGAAATGCATGGAATGGTATTTTTAAGTTTTTGATGATAATAAGATTTCTGATACTTCTGTTACTGCATCCCTAACTGAGTGAAAGATGCTTGCTACAAGGCACGTTCATATTCTATTCTAGGTACTGGTTTGCAGATTCCCCCGGCTGCACAGCAGGCTCTGCAGATGAGCGGATCTTTGGCATTTGGAGCTGTGGCAGGTAAGAAATGATGACATATTTATTTTTCAAAACTACTTTATGCTTTATAATTTTGAGACGAGGTACTTACTTTTGTGATCTTTTAAAATGAGAACATAGGTATTACAGCGTGTTTTACAAACTAAAACGTTGCAAATCCATGAGCAAATAAACAGTGACAGTATATGACAGCTTTGATGGGCGTGATTCACTTTGCATTATTTTTGGCAAATATGTTGTAATTCACTTAATTCATCCCAAGCCTTCATCTCTTTACCTTTACTATTCCCTGTACTAATGGGGACTTTCTACTGCAGTGTAAATGCTGACTGTTAAAAATGGCAGGCTCATAATTGGAAGGGGATTGACCCTTCTGAAAAAACAGAGCTGTACCAGGGGCAAGAAGGTTATTAGGGCTTTATGGGGAACATGGCAACTAAGACTACAGTAGTGTTAGGTTTATGCAGTGTATGTCCTGATGAGGAAGGACACACTATGTCAGGGAATTTGTGTGTTGCTTGGAATTGACTATAGTTTGTGTGTTCTGCAAGTGGGTATGTTGGAAGTGTTACTGAGACTTCATTTTGTTGTGAGAGGGAACGAGGCTGAGGATATGACTGCTGCTGCTAGTTCACAACTGGCCTAAACAGCAAACTGTTCAAGAGGGCTTCAGAAGTAGAGCAATGAGTAACCTCCTGCAGGAGATTAGGAATTTACAGAGTGGAATTTCTTCTTGTTATTTTTTTATTAATACAAGAACAAAGGGCATGAACCTGTCGTAGCAGTAGAAAAGACTTGAATGTCACAAGTAACTAGATGCTGGAATGTGTGAGAAGTTTCAGGAAATCAGTAAAGAACAGGTGGCATTATTTTGTTTGTCTTCCAGCAGAGTTTGTGACAGAAGTGATTCAGACTTAAGATACACCTGAATCACGTTAACTAGAGTTCGGGTGCAGTTTTGAGAAGCGCATACATGTGAAACTGTAGACAGCTGCAAAAAGAATATAATAGGGTCTTACTATAGATACACCCTTGGAAGGAAAAGGAACTGGCTAGTGAAAGAAAAATGTGGGTTGAGGAATAAGGGTTTTCTTCCTATTTCAGAAGAAAAAGATGAAAAGGACACAGTGGCAAGGAAAAAGCTATCTAGTCCAGAAAGAGAAGGAAAGGTAAACACTGCTAAAATTAGATCACCTCTAATGTAGGTGATAAAGTGGTGTGACAGTCTTGCTTGGAAACAGGTGTAGTTAATGAGAAATGAGAAACATTTTTAAGAAACACCAATCCTTTCCTTACCCCCATATTTGAAACAAATAAGCCAAAGAAATCCAAACTCCCCAAATCAGGAACATGGCCAAAAATGTCTTGACACAGCTGAACTGTTAGGATAGCATGGAATCAGTATGAGAGAACATGGCTGTGGAGGAATAAACGATAAGGCTTAATATAGGTTTTTGAAGAATGTGCATGTTTAGTAACTGTAGAAGTAAAAGTGGTAGGAGTAGCATTGTTTATTCCACTTGTATTGTACAAAAGGAATAATGCAGGCGTTTGCAACTTAAGTAACTTTGGAAAAAGATAAAGCTTTTTACTACCATAGAGTCATGAGCTATCCCCAAAGTGAGATTTGGTTATGGATTAAAGATCTCTTTACTCTTGTTAGAGAAAATTACTACCAGGAATTATGTCATTATGGGAGACTTTAACTTCCCTGATACAGATTGGAGAAGAATTGCTAGTAATAATGGTGGGGCCCAGATATTCCTGGATGTGATATCCGACAAATTTCTTCATCAAACACTCACTGACTCATGAAGAGGGGATGCTATTTTAAACTCAATTTGGTAAGTAATGAAGATGTTATGGATGAGAATAGAAATGACCATTGACTTGAGGGATCATGAGTTGCTCAAGTTTAAATGGAAGGATAAACAAAACAGGTCTGTAACTAAGGCTTCTGATTTCAAAAGCGGTGGTTGAAGAAACAAGGCAATAAAGTCGTCTGTCTAAGCAGCTTGGGTGTTTGAACAGGCAGGATGTAAAAAACTTCTTCAGTTCCAAATTGCTAATGCTATATTGGATCTGTATTCCACAGAAAGAAGAAACAGTCCTTTTAGAAACGGGCTCCACACTGAACTGGGTGATTAACTATCTCAAAAGAAATAAGGAATAAGCACAGAGCCTATTCTTCATAGGAAAAAGGACTGATAATAAAATAACATTTTTAGTTTGGGAAGTAGATAAAATGAGAATTACTTGCCAACAGTCAGACTAAGTTAGACCTTGTAAAAGATGTGAAAGCATAGAGGACAATTTACAAACTCTTGAAGAGAACAAAAAGGAAGTGGGGCTGAGGTTGAATGAAAAAATACTCCCAAGATGTTTCAAAAGAATATTACTGCCTCACTTTGTAGTGGGGACACTGGTCGTAAAGTTTGGAGTTTGAGGAAGGTAAGCTAGTAATATGGGTTTAAAAAAAAAATTATTCACAAGGTAGAAGCAAAGGTAAAAGTACAAGCTGAATGTACTCAGTTCAGAGTAGTAAGAAAACTCCCATCAAATTAGTGAGGGAATGGGTACCTGAAATATGAGGGCTGATATCTGGTATTGTCAATAAATATTTTAAGTCTGTGATACAATATATAGCTAGAACATGTAATTCTAAATTACCTGCACTTAAAAGGAAGGAAGAACAACATAATCTGGCCGGTTTCCAGTCCTGTTACTCTGACTTCACTTCTCTCCTTCAAAAGTCATATTGAAGATGGGTAAACTGGAGAATATTATTAAAGTATAGCCTACTTTCAGAGAAACTGCATTTGAAGACTAACTTTGATAAAACTGACTTTCCTAGACAGAGGAGCAGTAGTAGAACTCTTCTCTCTGAACTTTTGACTTGTGTCATTTGGAAGTTACTAAACTAGAGAAGTAGGAAGTACAAGACCTGTGAAGAAGCTGGCTCAAAGAAAGAGGGATTTTTTTCAGGTGAAAGCTGGGAAGAGGCTGCTGTTGAAGCCAAAGTTTAGGTGTTGGGCTGATCTTGTTTCATATTTACATGAGTAACAATGGTCAACAAGAGTAGGCATGAGGTGAGTAAATACAGAGGTTCTGTCAATAAGGGATTCTTGGGGTGTTGTGCATTGTTCACCTGTTCAGGATTGAAACAAATTCTAGTTACATAGCCTGGGAGCTTAGCAGTGAAAGATGGCCAAGGGGGAGGAAAATATCTAAATACTTCAGTTTATCAGTGAGTGAATATGAACTGTCAGCGTGATGCATTTTTGAAAGGGCAGCTGTGTTCCTAGAGGTAGCATATTTGAGCACCTGAGATGTAACGTACACATTCGTGAACAGTTCTGGTCACCCATGTTCAAGATGGGTTGAATCTAACTAAAATAGGGAAGTTAAAGAATTAGTTTTACGGGAGACCGGAGAACTTGGATATTATTCCCATGGAGAAAATTCCAGCAGGAAAAAGAATTGAAGCTAAAAAGTTGTAGCTGTGTACTTTCTGTTCTCTAGTAAATTCTGTCTGAAAATCTGAAACTTAAAATAACCATGAGGCTATAGAACATTCTTATGCTTTGTGGGACAAAACATGCCTTACTTTTCGGAAGGAACTCTGTTTATGAAAAAGATTGAGATAGTGTGCTGCAATAGAGGGATGAATAGGTGTTATCATCCAGGACCTCTGTTTGATCTGCTGTTCTGTTGTAAGTAATTACTTAGAAAACTGGGGAATACTTGGCAGGCTTTTGTTTATTTAGAGCTAGCTGTGTTTCGAAATAAACATGCAACTTCATTTTGTTTTAAGACACAAAATGCTTTGATAGATATTTCTGTATTTCTGCTTTCTCTGTGCTAAGCATGTACTTCTTAGTCATGCTAAACTCACTACTTTTACAGATTATATATACAGAACATACGGAAAAAGTTACTTTGATCTTAACTTGACAGATGTATTAATTTTAGTTTCCACATACTATTTAAAACTGCATGTAGGGAAGAATAAGAGTTGACAGTGAAGAGTGACAATGAATTTCTAAATTCTGAGTGAGTTTAGAAGTGAGAGGAGAGGACAGGACCATTCTTCAATCATGAGCAACAAGAAAATTCAGTTAGTTGATGAAAGAATTGGTGGACAGGGGTTTATGTTTCAGAGGTGGTAGATAATTAACCTGTGAAACTTGTTGCCACAAGGTACTGTTAGCTGATCTTCCTATGTTTAGAACAGACTCGACTCTCTGCCCTAGACAGAATTTGGACTGGTGATCTGTGTAGATTTGCCACATTTGGTGCAGGTGGCCTGGAGCATTCGGCTCTAGAGCCCCAGGCTGACTGAGATTTGGTACGTTCAGCTGTATGTGATGTATATGTGCAATTGTGTCAGAATTGCAGAGGGAGAAGCCTCTGTCCTCATCTAACTAAAGTGATTTAGGATATTGGGGGATTTATTACTTTTTTTAAACACATTTGTTTATAAAAAAGTTTGGGTAGTAATTAGCTAGGTAATTAGTTATAGATTTGGCCAAATCCATGCAGTTTCTGCAGGGAATGGAGTCTAAGACAGTCTTCCCCATTATGGTATTTCTCACTCTGTGGAGTTGAGGATTTCTTTGTGTACAGATCGAGATGGAAAACATGCTAAACGTAGGCAATTCTTGTTACAGCTTGGCCTTCAGAGCTTGCTCCTTCCATCGCTTATTTTTCAGTCTGGTTCCTAGTATGTGTTCTTCTATGGAAGTTGCTTGGGAAGGCACTTGAGGAAGACTTGTCTTCGGGGCTCTCACTGCCTAATACTTAGAGGAAAAAAATCCACTCCTATTGGTCCCCCAGTGTTGTGGAGGAGGGTTTTTTAGACAGGGAAAAAGTATGTTGGTACCTGATACCTTCAGCTATTTCCAAGTAAGCTTGGAAACTTACTTGGGGTCCATCACTTCACTGCTTTCTAGACAAGTGAATTAAGATGACGGTTAACTTTAGTCTTCTAACTCCCTGCGTTTGTGTGAATTGAATTGGAACATAAGTGAAGAGGCTTATGCTTACATTTCTTGCCTTCTGAAGTTTTCTGTTGGTTTAAAGATGTCGAGTATTGGAGTCATATACTTGGAAATGGTTAGAAAGTCTGCATTTGTCTGTTCCCATTACTTCAAATTGGGACAGCTATATGTTATTAAACAAGTGATTAGTGTTTTCTTGGCAAATTAAACGCTCTGAACACTTGAAAATGTTTTGAATTTGAAAAATACCAGAGTAACTTGTGTCATTATGACATTTATGTGGAAAGATAACAGGTGAAATACCACCTTATTCTACTTGAAATTAAATTTTAATAACTGCTTTCAGAATGTCACATTTGGATAACTGTGCGCTTAAATGTTTTCTGTTAGTAAAGATGCCAAACTTCTAATGCCTGTAGGAATTGCTGTAATTATTTTCTCATGGAACAAAATACATCTTGCAAAGAGTTCAAGCATAGCAAAGGCAAGGTGGAAATGATACATTGAATTAAAGGACATGGTCATGTCTTTAAGGTATTGTTTCTCTTTGAAATATGCTTACCTTTGTGGTCATGGAATCTCTGTCAAGTACAGAATATTCCAGCTGAGAAGTTGAAATTAGTGAAACTACTCACAACTAGAGAGGAACAGTGAGAGTGGGTTGAGGTACTTGAACAAGCTCTTAACCACAAAAATACAAGCTAAACAACCTGACTGGCAGGTAACAATACAATAATGCTAGCAAGCATACTAATTAACTTCTGTATATTTTTCTTTAGATTTGCAAACGAGACTATCTCAGCAGAATGAAGGTAAACTAGCATTTGATATAACTTGTCACCAGTAGGTTTTGTTGCAGATGTCTGTAAGTGAAATGCTTCTGGTTTGCCAACAGGCCAAGAAATTGCATTTTATTAGTGTCTGTAGGAATCATACTATGTATTGATTATTGACTGAAAATAACAATGTAAGTTAGATGCCTCACCTTTTCTTTGTAGTGTTTCCTCAGTGTTGGTAACATTCCCCAGCCATATGTTAGTCCTAGAAAATGTGTGGGTTTGTGTTTTTGTTTGTGGGTTTAGGTGTGGTTGGGTGTGGGGTGTTTTCCTGCCTTAGAGGGGTCTAGAGGGGTCTGCCTTAGGGACTAGAGGGGTCATTTGAGAATGAGGACTTTGGGGTTACTGTCCTTGGATTAGTCATCATCTTATTCTGACTGCGCAACCCTTAATGTCTGCATATGTAGAGAGAAGGTGGCTGTTACTTCACCTAAATTAACAGAAGCTTACAGCCTGTGGAAAGGGCAACCTGTAGGACAGTGCTTATCTTTAATAGATGTACTGTGATGATGAGCAACAATAAATGACAATCAGTAA